TACTTCATATTAATCCAATTTTGTTTACACAAATAATGAAGTAGTATTTTAAATTTTAATCTTCTCCATTAGTGTATTTTCTTATCTGTTTTTTGATTGCGTTCTTTAGGTTCTTCGTTTAATTTCATTTAAAATAAATTTATTATGTTGTTTACACTGTTTTATAATATCATAATATTCCTGTGGTGTATACAAGAAATTCTTTTTTATATTATTTATTTCTTTTTTTCTATGAAAATTGGATCTTAAACCACTTTCATAATCAATGATTATGCAATTTCATTTATCGACCAATTTTAAATTGTACCAAACATAAAAATTTTTTAAGAAATTAAACACGGACTAATTATACATAAAAAAAATTTACATAAAAATTAAACACGAATTACGTGATATCTAATTTTTTTTTTTCAAAAAATAGACTTATACACCACTTTCAAAATAAACAGTCCATATATCTATGTGATAAAATGATTAAGTCCTAATAATAATATGCTAAAGATCTTAATAAGAAAAATAAGAAAAAAAAAGAAGCAAGAAGAAGAAAAACGAATGCAAGCACTCTTTATAAACAACAACGAATTTATTAATATTCATATACTCGGTGTAAAAAAAGAAATACAACCGAACTAACAGCTCATCCTTTGAAGATGCTCCCCAAACTCCATCCCTACCCCCACCCTGCAAAAAAAAACATAAATAAATAAAAAGGAAAAAAAGAGAGAGAGAGAGAGAGAGAAAGAGAGAGTATCTATGAGAAGGACGGTCTTCCTCTCTTTGAGGATAAAACTTTGTGTAACGCGATAATCGTACTCGGTTCGCGCAACGGAATTTCGAAGCGGGGTTTTAAATTTCTAACTTCGTGTAAAGGGAGCACACAAGGATGATGAGTAGGGGGTAGGGGGTTGCAGAAGAGGGGATAGGTAGGTAGGTAGGTAGGTAGGAAGACGAGAAAGAGAGTTTTGGGGGCTGGGAGGATGAAAATATGTTAAATTCTCTTCCCAGCCGAGTTGAAGTAGAAGTTGGAAGCAGTGTAGAGTAAGATCATGTGACACGTTGAACATTCATCCCGTTGTGTGTACTCCTCCTTCCTCCTCCTCCTCCTCATCCTACTTCAACTCATCTTTTTTTTTCTTTTAGGGGTAGGAAGAAGAAGAATAAGAAGAAGAAGGTGGGACTACTACTACTACTATTGTATACTAGGTCGTAAATAGAAACCTGCAACTTTGCAAAGTGTACGACGTCTCGTATATAAACAGAAAATACCACCACTACCTATTACTTCTTACATATATTTGTGCATACACGAGTGTGAATGGAAGTGTGTGTGTTTGTGTGTGGGTATGGGTATGTGGGTAGATGACGTGTTTCGTCTTCTCGCTGTTATTCCATCATTATTCTATCTTTCTTATAGTTCTTTTCTTACTAAGGTTGCTACTGCTCACATGATATTTCGAAATGACAGGGGAGACAAAGAACAACGAGACCATGCGAACAATAAGACCTGATATTCCCCTCTCCACGCCTGAATTATTGTGCTCCCTTTCTTTTTCTTATTCTTCTTCTTCTTCTTTCTACCTTTCTTATTTTTCTTTCTTTCTTATTTTTTTTTTTTGTTACAGGCTTGTTTTTATTTTCCATTAGAGACTTTATAAAAGTAAAATACACCCTACTTGATCGTAATGATTGGAAAATTATTATTATTATTATTATTACTATAGAAAAACGATTATATTATAATATAT